ATGGATCTCGCTTCAGAAGGTTGTAATAAAATTCCTTGGTAACAGAAATGCTGGGACATATGAAGAAATAGGGCCGGAACTCCTCAATTATAAAGCACTGGGATGTAACATGTTCGTTAATATGTATTTTCTCTATTCACACTTAACTTCTTTCCTGAAAATTCCGGTGCTGTGAACGACTGACACGGTGAGCGATTCCACCACTACACTGCAACTATGAAAAATGTTATAAGGGAAAAATGAATCAAAATATGTTTACAGACTATTGCTGGACACTAAGAAAGGATATACTCAAATGAAATACAGAAAACCATCGTTTAAAATTACATTTTGATTGAGATTATATTTAAGTGAAGAAAATCAATTAATTAACAGTATTTACTTTTTAAACGTTTATTACCAAGAAACCTTGCTCTTTATAAATTAATAATTCACAAATTTGAAATCAGAGCACAATTTTCCATAAGAAACAGCCATTATATTCCGTTTAACAAACAAAAAGTTAAATTTTGTTGATCAGTGTAACACATTTACGCCCAAATTTTTGTTCAAAAAGTTAACAGGTAACCTCAACTGTTTGTTTCTTAGCTCAAATGTTTTATTTTGCCAATTTTATATCCTCAACAGTCATAAACGTCTTAATATTGTAACCCCCCTCCTAATTTCCCCGGCGGCTTCAGAAGACAGCTTTGCTCGGCTGCTCGGAAACGGGGTTGGCGAGGGATGCATGCGTGATCAGGCTCGCATGCAGAACCACATGGAAACGTTTAACAACCTGACTTTACTGACCAAAAAGAATAAAAGGGGATTCCCGAGGTGAAGACAACTTGGACACTGGTTTACAAGCTGTTGATCTACACTTCACCTAAATTACGCCTGGCGATGGCCGGCCTCGGCGCTCCATGCGTCCTCGTAGCATGAGTTTTGAGCGACCTCAGCGGCCAAAGCTCACGGTAGCCAACGTCCGGGACGGCGTCAACAGACCTCCGTAGGCGGTGCAGGCAGTCCGGCGGCGGTGGCAGCGGCTGCACGCGACCGCGGCGGCGTCCGCACTCCACGCGGTGGCGGCACAGGAGGCGATGACGGCGACGCTCGCGTGCGATTCCGCCGCAAGTTGGCGATCGTTCACTGTCATTCCACGCATTGCCCGTAGTTGGTTCGTCCGGCGGCGCTTGTCTAGGTCTCGGCTTCGCCAAGGCAGCCCATTCACAGCCGGTGTAGCAGCGGCGATGATACTTCACCGGGCATGATTAGCCCCGTCGCGGGGCCACGCGGAAGCTGGCGGCGATGGCAGCGACGACGTCGGAGTTCGCGAGTGTTTTCTAGCTGTGCCTTACGAGTCAAGTAACTGCATCTTCGCTGCTGTTTTTATCTGCGTTCTACAAACCGAATGAAGCCCTTATGCGCTGCTTTCTTTTATTCGAATGACTGGCGAAGAATTCCACTGTGACCCACCTAAGCCATGGGTTCACGTGGTACCCACGTCTGGTTCCGAGCGATGGGCCCGTAAAAATCGCGCGACGCGAGGGCAGCCAATAGCGACGAGATGCAGACAGTGGCGGTTGCACCTGCAAATCGTCCGTGGACTGCGAAATTCCATGAAAAACGGGCGGCGACGAGCGAGAATTATTTCGATTTTTTTTCTCAGAAAATGAACACTTTCAGACCTGACTTTTTTATCATAAGTAAGTGATGTTTAGTGTGACTATTTCACGAATTAAGACTTTGCATGAATCAAATGGATAATTAAAAACACAGGAATCTCAAAAGATGATAATATTACTCAAAATTGCTACCGGAATAACCGGAATACGTGAAAGTTTCATTCAGCTCCGAGTTATCACTGCCTCCTGGAATAACTCATAATCAAGTAAAATATGAACAACAGTTTAATGCAGAAAATCATTTCAAATGTTTCGATTTAATGGTAATAAAACCTAAAAACAACAATTAAACAAATCTACTTACAAGAACATTTATTCAAAACAATTATTAAAGTTGTAGGAAGTTGAGTTTTCCATGTCTTGATATTCCGAGGAAGTATTTGAAGTGGAAGATGTACTAGCTGAATTAGTCAATTTCAAAAGGATTGAGCACACGTGTGTGCTCATTAAAGTATTTTCCTGAATAATTTTGGTTGTATAGTTCCACACAGTTATGGTACCATATTCTTTATACTCTTCACCATTTAATCTATGTATATTAAATTCCCACAATATGTGTAATTTCTTCATGTGCAGTTGTTGGTGCCCATTTGTATTTTCTTTCTTCACAAAATTCTTGAAATTGCCTCCACACACTTTCTCTGTTTGTTTTGTAGTTTTTAGACACTGATTTTTTTTAAATATATTCTATTTCAGAGTTTCAAACATTACCAAAAGGAGATATTTTAATATTGTATTGATACTCACAAGCTATTACAGACCTAAAACAATTGCTATCTTAAAACGGTAAACAAAATAATTACAAAGGAGAAAAAAGTTAAACAAAGTGATACAGCAGAGAGGAAAAGGTAAACAAAATGATAATTTTATGGTGATAAACATCTGGGATTGGTTTAATATGAATACTGTATATTCTTGCTTATCATTGATTACTTACTATACGGGCAGACATGAGTGAAATAGTCGATGGAAATTTTTTCAGTTTGTGATGATTTTTTATTAAAGAAGTTTATTTCAAAGAAATGTATTTAATTAATTTTGTTATGAACTTAGTTGCTTATTATATGTATTATTAGCTGCTTGGTTTTGTAACTTTCTAGAGAATGCATCTTGTACTTTTTAATTCTCTTACCTTAGCATGCAATAGGAGGTAGCATTTGAATTGTTTATTTCAAAACCCCCATAAGCGCCACTGTTTTCAGAATTGACGTTTTAGCAAATGAGTGTTCCAGAGACTTGAATACATCATTTAGTGCAGATATCCCACATGTGCAATTCTCAGAAGCACGGTAAATTGAGTTGTGTATGTAATGTTTAATGAAGAAACTACACAAGTCCCGACGTTTATGGGCTTTTTGCAATAAACATAGAACATTTTGTTCTTCAGCAAAGAGCATAATGTTCTTAAAAAGTATCGTTTCAGTATCGTATCAGTATTTAAGTAACAATATCTGATTCGGAACACTCAGAAGATGAACCGTTACAATGAAGAGAAAAGAGTGGCTGATAAGGAATTTTTCAAACGTAACTCCATTCGAACTACAAGAGTAAGCAGTGGAAGTTATATAACACACAAAGGAAAGAAAGTAGAAAAAAACAACTTGTCCTAATTCTGCCGATTGTACATGTCAGCCTCCAAATAAATGCTATTAAGTAAAAATACTCAAGATATTTATCTATATTTGAGGCCAAAACTCTCAAACTGAGGTGTAAAACACATTGATGTAATAATGAAAAGAAGGGTAATTCTGGGATGGAAATGAGCTCCCAAAGCCGTATCAACAATCCGAGGAATACCACATTAACAAGCAAACTTCGTTGTTCATTAAAACAAATAATGGTAGTTTTGAAACTTTGTGAAAAAATACCTTTATGGCTGAGCAGTCGATTACGCCAGATAGTCTGATGCAATGGATTTAGTTCTTACAGTGACGGCTCATGGTCATATCATTATGGTGTGCAACATCTATCTTCTCTTTTCCTTCCTCCCCCGCTCTCTCTTTAATACATACACACACATATACAAAGGCATACATTACATGCATACGTATAAATTAATTAACATAAATAATGACAATTAACCACAGAGCATCTTATGAAGTCAGATAGCATGCTGAACGGTATCTTTCATCAGCAGTGAGGGTCGCCCGCATTTCTTTTCGCAACACCTGCTTCGACTTCGCTCAGGTCGCTTCGGCAAAGACCCCTCCGAAATATTTACTACTACAGTCGGATTATCGCGTATCTACTCAGCACATTCCAGGACCATTTTCCCAGGGGTGTTAAAAGTGTTATATTGTAGACGTTGATTCAAAACGTTTTTACTGGTACTTTTGAATTGAATTGATGCCTTGTTTTACGTCGCGAAAATCAGGCCTTGAGGCCTGCTCTTTCGACTGACCAAGCAAATTCCGCTACGAGTATTTTCCATAAGCTCGCTGTACAAATTTTAGGCTAAAAGTGCAAGTTACCGAATACTCAAAACACTCTAGATAATTTGCCATCTACACTGGGTCAAGAAACACAAAGTCAATTCAACACTGTTTCTTTTCAGCAATTCTTTCTTCACGCTTGGTAGAAAAACGAACACGAACTTCGGTGTTTCAAAACGCATTAAAAATAGCCAACTACATACGTTTACAAAACGTTTACATTTGGGTTTTCATTAATTAGAAATGGAATAGTAATTGCAACTCCTTCAAAATATAAGGGAATGTGCTTATATTAAATTAACACAATTTTTATGAATGTATCACTGCACAGCAATGTGTTAGTTCGCGTTTTGCGCGCCAGCGAATAACTTTTTATTGTAATGTATGAGAGCTCTTTTCAGTAGTTTCACTTCTTTCGTTCAATGTCACGCGTACTTCTACAAACTTGTGCTGAGTGTTATATCTTGGAGATATGTCAAGGCAGACGCAGTGGCGATCGCACACTCGACCGAATGATTCTATGATTCCATAAAGCCACTGTGGTTTCCTCTTCTTACTCCTTCAGCCCCGCGGCAGCCAACAACGCGCTCTACTCGTTCGCAATTCCCGAGAGTGCGCAGGCTGGCTTTCAAAAAAAGCGCACTGGCGCGGACTGTCAATCGCTGCTTCCGAACGGCGCGTGTTTTCAAATTACATGTTTCGGAGACGCTCTAAGAGAACTTGTATTCCTCACTTGTTTAGAGAAAATGAGAGAATTTGGAGAAAATGCACCGAATTAATTTGGGTGTGCACAAGCGAACGTATGACTAGGTACGAGCCGCTTCTGAGTTCTTATATTCCGAAAGAGTAGGTGAAGAAAATGGAAATATAAAATTTTATGATAATATACCACAGGAAGTATATGATTCTGTTTGAGTGGCCACCAACAGACCAAGAAAAAACACTTGAGATTCAGCCAGATTAATTCACAGCATCTCAATTTAAGAACTACTATTTCTTGTACTTTTCATCTATTTTCCTAAATAAACCTACGTTTTAAACTCCTTGAGTAGATAATTTATGATTCCCCCCAAAAGCTAATTATAAGCTCTGCTTTCTGTATATGATTTAACAATAAATAAAGAAAAAATCTGTGTATTGCAAAAATCCCACAAGTGCACTAAATTCTTTTATTTTTATTAAATATATACAACTAAATTTCATTGTTATTGGAAGATCAAGGTGTTCAGAAAACCACATATTTTAATACACATGTTTTGTAAACTGACAACACAATAGTTTGGAAGCTATTCAGTTTTTCATACTTCCTGAAAAATTTACAGATTGGCGCTTATGGGGTTTTTGAAAAAAAAAACATTTATATTCTAATCCCAACAATCAATAGGAGATGTAATACTATTTATATTTTTCAGGTATCAGTTTCAACAGCAAATTTTCAATAAGCTGTAGACTATGTAAGTCTTAAATGCACATAAAATACATTTATATATTACACATGAACTTATTTCAAGTAGTTTACAAACACATAAAGTACACAAACTTCTTGACAATATTTTACAGAATAAAATCTTGAAAACATTACACAAGTTCAGAAAAGGAAAGTATCATATCAAGCAAAATAAAATACATCAACCTACTCGAAAACAAAAACTTGCACTCTTTCTTAGTTCCTGCAAAGAAATCAAAGTTTCTATCTGTTAAAAGTTTTACTGAAATTCTGTTTTGAAAATAATTTTTAGCCTATACTGAAAAGACACTCTTTATATCTATAAAATCTTTAAAACAACATGATAGTAATTGTAATTTTGCCTCTAACAAATATTGTAAAGTACTTCTGGATCAATTACACACGTCTCTATACGAGTTTTCCATAGAGTTCCATAATACAAAAGTGATCCATAATACAAAAGCTGAATTAGCTCCTAATGTAATATCTACAAAAATACACCTTCCACCAACACACACATGTAACATTCTTTTCTTTTTTTGAAATAACACAGTAAATGAGGCCAATAGCTCTGCATTATTATGATCTTACATTTGCCAGAGAAATTTAGCAGAGAGAGTTTTTCTCTGAAAAATATGATGTGCATTTTGTATACAAATTCCTACTACATAACATTTTTCCTTCATTTTTTTCTAATTCATGCCATCCTTCAATTATTCACACAAATATTCCTGGCATATTCACTCTTAATTTCCATTAATTTAAAAAGTAAAATATGATTGACTTAACATCTACCATCTCTTCAACAAACATCTTTTCATTACTTATTTATATATCATACATTTCATATCTTCCGCATACAAATAGTACAACAGATTCATAGTTCAGTCCTAGAGGTAATGAAGTGCATATCCACAAGATTAATGCAACATTCTTTGGTTTAAATTGGAGAGTTGATAAGAACAGATCCATCAGTAGCCATGTACATTTGGTTAAACAAGAAAAGATTCACTCTTAACTACTTGTAAATGCTCCTGAATTCTCCTTATATGACTTTGCATGATTATTAATTGAAAAAATTGAGCAACAAATTGATGTGTTCAATTCTAATAGTTTCCTATTGAAAGGCGCAGAGCAGTGAATGAACAAAAATGTTCATCAGTAGATAATGTCTCCTCACCAGGCAAAAGTTGGACAAGGATCAAGATGACAGTCAATGTAAGTCAAATCAAGGAAAGCCATATAGAAACACATCATGCCGGATCATGCCCTTCTGTCCTTATTCCTCATAGTTACATTCCTTGTAATACTAAAATATGCTTAAATTAGTTCTTTCATTTTCACTGCACATGCGTCTAACTACATGAGAATTCTGTGGAGACAATCCAATATCACTGCAGAAGAAACTCTGCTAAATCATGTATAGTGTCAAGAATCATTTCATGACACTGCTGGCCTGTCTGAACTTGTGGTTAAGTAATGTTACAAAACATTACTATGACTAATTTTAAGTCCTTTGTTTTTCACATAACCCATAAACTCTTTTAGCCCTAGAAGCCTCAAATAATTTCTGAATAATATGAGTTAAGAAATGATTTTATGAGTAGTTTTGCAAATTAAATATTGTGACATGTCGTTAACCTACTGTAGAATGAATTAATCAATTTTAGAAGTCACATTAAATCCACTCATTCCTATCAAAATTTAGATCTTCAAATTACAAAGATCTACAAACAGACATCCACATTCATGCAGATGACTATTATCTACAAGTGAAATTAGTGTTACAAAAGTCTTCTGCTTTTGCCATGCTAAATAGATATCTGTGTGTCTACCCTACGCAGTAGTAGGCACCTGTTAGTCATAGTAGGACCTTCACTAACAATGTTACTTAACATAATTTAAATATAAATTAAATTATTTGAATTTATATTTTTGCCCAACTTTTATATCAAAAGTACTCCAAAAATGACAGGGTCAAGATTTTCATTTGGGTCTGAGAATGTATCTTTACACTGAAAGTGGTGACTCCATAATGAAAGGGTACACGACTTCACAGTCGACCTCACTGTCACTGTCTCCCTCAGCGTCACTGCGGCCTTCACAGTCCATGTCAACATCATGCGAATGTTCACCACCACCCACCTGAAGCAGCACACGGATGGCATCCTCCTGGCCACTCAGCACAGCGAGGTGCAGGGCAGTGGCACCCTGGTGTCCAACAGAATAACACTTTGTTTTAATATCTCATAATATAAAGAAATACACCAAATACCGAAAAGGAAATTTCTGCAAAATATAAATGAGTCAATAGCTCTTTGATTCGTTAGAACGCTGAATCTGTACATGGGTCATTCCATGTCAAATGGCACAAATTTATGGAAAATTTGACCTTGATCTCCCTGATTTTAAAACATTTTTTTCCTGTGAAGAGTATAAGTACAATTATATATATATTAAAATTAATATAAGTGTCAACGTAATATACAAATTTTCATTTTAAAAATTAAAATATATTTTAAATATTTCAATAAAATGTTTACAAAATGTATTTTCAAGTACATGTTTTTAAGTTAAATTTTATTTTTATAAGGAAACGGTATTTGCGCAAAAAATAAAACAGCGCGCGAATGGTTTTTCGAAAAAAATAATTGTAATATTTTTGAAAGGGGTGGGATAAGAAAAAAAAGAAAGAAAATACGCGTCACCTCTTTTCAACTATCTGTCTATTTAGTGTTTTTTTACAGCCTTGGCCGTTTTCAGCATCCCAATTTCCATGCCTCTTTATCCCATACATCGTTTTCCTCCATTTCTCTTTTTTCCATGGCTTCAGTTATTGCCATGTTCCATGTTCCTCTCGGTCTTCGCCTATATCTTCTTCGATTTGGTCTCCACTCCCAAACTTTTTGAGGAAGTCTATCCGATTTCAACCTTCTCATATGTCCACACCATTTTAGTTGTTTCATTACGATCGTCTCGTTCAAGGTTGTTTGCACTTTCATTTTATTTCTTATTTCATCATTTCTTATTTTATCTAACAGAGAAAGATTACAACATCTTCGCCAGAAATTCATTTCTGTTGATTGAAATTTGTCGTTCAATTTTTTTGATAGTGTCCAGACCTGCCCTATAGAGTGTGGTACTCACTATAAAGAAGCTATATATGCGTTTCTTTGTCTTCATTGAAATAATTGAGTTCTATTGCACTGGATTCAACTGTCTTGTGGCTATTTTTCTTCTTATATTTTTATTTTTCTCATCCTGTTCGTCTCTACCATCTGCTGTTAGTGTGACTCCCAAATACTTATATTGTGTTTTACCTTTAATTATTCCTATACTAGTCTATAAATCATGGGGCATACCTCCCACCACCATATATTCAGTTTTGTGTAAATTTATTTCCATCCCCCATTTTCCATACTCTTCTACTAATTTTCTGAACATCTAAGTTACATCATATTCATCTTCAGCCATTTCACCTGGTCATCTGCAAATAGTAGACTAAACAATGTTTCATCACCTATTTTCACACCCATGCTTCTGCACTTTCTTTTCCATTCTTATAGTGTTTTATCAATGTATAGGGTTGAAGATATACAGCAGTCTTGTCGTAATCCTTTATTTACTGGGAAGCTGTCTGATAGATCTATCAGCCCTCTTTTCAACCCTAGAAGTAAAAAAAAAAAAGTCTCGCAACGGTAAAATATCGTAGGAAAAATATATGCGAGCAAAAAAATAAAAAAAATACGTATTTAATAATTTTCAAAAATCTATTCAATGATGACCAACAGCGCTACTTTGGTGATTTTCCATCCGTCTGGGAAGTATTCAAGTTCCAGGCATTCATTGTAAAGTTGGTGCAGCTCCGTTGTCATGATCGGGGAGGCGCTTCGAACCATTTCGGTGTAAATACAATCATGACCGAGCTCCTTGCCCATCTTCAGCCCAGCAACAACCTTTTCGAGCTTCTCCACTTTAAAGTTAGAGACGGTTTCGCCTTCATAATGAGCCTCAGTAGTTATTCGAATTTCCGTTTGTAGGGACGAATCCTGTGTCAGGTTGTCACCAGGAAGAAGTGTACTTAAGAGAGTCTTACACGTATCTTTCCAATCGTTCGTAAGTTGACCATCCACCTGTAAAGTCGACAGTGCTTCTGACACTCGCTACGATTTTATGTGATACACCCCACCGCTTCTTTACTAGCAACGTAATTTTGTCAAGATGATCATTTAACTTCTATGCTTTTTCTAGTTAACTTATTCTTACATCTCGTTGTTTCAATAATGTACATTTCTGTGAGATCACTTTGCATACGCTTAAGTCTCTGATATCTTCGCTTCAGTTTTCTGGCAATCTTAAGCATGGCAGTGAGTTCTGACTCCCACCAGCTGGTTACTTTTGGTCTAGATAGGGCCGTGAAGTAGGGTTCTTTCCGCTGCTTTTATCATACACAACGTGATGATTTCCACTTTTTCGTTAACCGTGGTCTGATTATTCGGATTCCCCAATTTTTCCACTTCCACTTCCACCAGCCAATCGGAAGAAAGGCTGTTAGCACATGTTTTCTGAAACAATTGGCTTCATAACAAGGATACGGAAAACAAAACGGCGAGCTGTGATGCCGGAGGATGCAACACTTTAACAGCGTGTTGAAAGTATTGCCAGTTTACTTTCCTGATGTGGAACTTGTATAGATTTGAGGTATAGGTTTCCATTTTAGCTCCAACATTGAACAGTATAGCATCGTGGTCACTTTTAATTAGTTGGCCCTTAACTTGTCTCCTTCGAATTCTGGATACAGACGCATCATTTGCTAGTTAGTTTTGTATTGGAGTCGATTTCTCTCAGCATTTCTCCTACATGGAGAGTCCGACTAAAAGTCTGTGAGTCTGATGGTTCATTCATAATGCAAAGGCCATTACACATAATCATGCTCAGAATATTTTCACCTCGTGGATCCTACTCTCCAGTAAACTATTGTTCTGATTTCGCATTTGCATCCATGCTCACGACTATCGTTGTCGACCTATTTGTCGTTGTTATTGATTGTTGATTCTAATCGATCACACATTCTGTCAATGTCAGGGCCATATATGCCGATATAACTCTCATTCCAGTCATACTGTTTGTTGTATATTTAGGAACAATTAAGAAGACAACAGTTCTTATCAAAAATGCAGGTTTATTATTCCGAATCCAAAAGCACAAACCAAGCACAAGCCAGTTCACCGTTTTCCAGAAGAGGTCCCTTTCACAAACACTAATCATCAACCACCTGGAGAAATACCATTACCAACACTGCACGTCAAATAGCCCTAGGCACCTCGTCGCTCACTGCGCTCGTTCGCCGCACTCGGACTACCACCGGCGCTTTTCGCCCTCTGCAGGTCTTCCTCGACGTCCATCATCAGGGGTTCCACGGTTTGCTGCTGTTCCCCCTCGGGGTCCTGGTGCAGCAGTTTGGACCGCTCCTGCCCGATGTCCCCCGCCCATCTTCGTGGGGCGCTTGCTGCGGCTGGGCTAACTCCTGTGATCCTCTGCATTCCTGGAAATGAGGAGCTTTATATGTGCTATTCTCCGTTGGTTCTTCGGCTCTTAACCACCTCGGGCCATCCAACTCCTCTACTCTAAAATGTTTCGGCCGTAGCTGCTCCTGGTGCCGCCTGAGCACTCTCTCCCGGGTCCGTACCACATAGCACTTATGTCCTTGGACTCCAACCACTGTACCTGGGATCCAGCGCAGTGACTCCTTATGGATCTTAACCATCACTGGGTCTCCCTTCTCAAACCGTGTTCTCTCCGTACCATACACCTTTTTTTTAAAAAAAAAATACCGACAGGAGCGTCCTCTGCTGCCGCCCATGGAGCTTCTGTGCCGGACTGACCCCATCCCTTCCCGGAAGGAGTATATTTTCAGGAGCTCTAGCAATGCTTCCTTTTCGTCCCTGTCCTGAAAACTTGGCTTGCTCATTGCATTCTTAAAGGTAGGTCTCATTGCATTCTAAAGGGAGGAGCCAACATGTGCTCGATTCCATTTTCCAGGCAAAATTTTCTAAATATTTTCTCTGTAAATTGGGGGCTATTGTCAGAGACTAACGTTGCTGGTAATCCCTCTACAGAAAATATTGTCTGAAGAGCCCGGCCTGTGGTGTCCGCTGGACAGTTTGCCAAGCGAGTAACATATGGGAAACCTGACGCTGCGTCCACGAGTACTAGCCACAAGTTACCTTGAAATGGGCCCGCAAAGTCTACATGTACCCTCTCCCACACCTCCTGAGGTTCCGGCAACTCCTTAAAACTGTTTCTTGGGCCTTTCTGGAACGCCTGACATGGCTCGCACGTTCTAATTCTAGCCTCGATATCCTTGTCTATGTTAGGCCAGTTGCAGTATTTTCTAGCTGTTTCGTGAGAACAATTCCCCAGTGACCTTCATGTAGAATACTCAGGACCATCTTTCTCAAACTAACCGGGATGACTACCCTGATCTGGTCCCCGGTTTCCAACAACAGAACGCCTGCCCTAACATTTAATCTATCTCTGAATTTACATAGCGGGTTTGCCTCCAGTTTTTCTATGGGTCTTCTGTTACCTGATTTCATGAATTCTCTGATACTTGCTAGTTGCGAGTCCCCATCCATCTGTGCTGCTATTGCTCGCTAATCTGCTTGCCGTGCTGAGCGGTAGGCCTAAATAGAATCTTATAATTGTAATCTGATAGAAAAAGAGCCCACCTCTGTAGCTTCCGCAACGTGTTATCTGGTATCTTCTTTGCAGAATGAAACAGTTCTACTAACGGCTTGTGATCCGTAACTATCCAAAATGCGTTGCCATACAAGTATTCATTAAATCTACGTACCTCAAAAATTATTGATAGCGCTTCTTCTTCTATTTGGGAGAATCTACGCCGATGTACGTTAAGTGTTTTAGACGCAAACGGGATGCTGTTTATGTCATAACACTGTTTATCATATCACACACAACCAGGTCATGCATGGTAAACAGGGAGAGCACAAGAGCCCGAATTTGAGGATTTCTTCTTACTATGATTTGTTTTGTTTCTGGACGCTTCCACTCCTTCCAGGTGGTGCAGCCCTGCTTAGGCGACCTCGTATCCTATATGACACTTGAAGTGAAACAATGTCAGGAGCTTGTTGCGTGTTACATAAGTTGCTCAATACTGAATATTGCTGTTTACCATTACCATCTGCAGGAATTTAAGATCCATAGTGTGTCCTAGCAATTTCAATTACTATCGCAACGTTTTAGCTCGGGACATTTTTTACTGAAAGCTGTTCCACCTCTTCCTCTTGTCTCTGATGCAATTCACACGTCTGATTATTGCTTGTTTTGTGCATGCGTCCGCATTTCATGATCGTCCGCACAGTTAGCACAATCCCTTTTCTCCCTGCACATGGATTGTCTATGCCCAAAACGTAGACAATTCATACAGCGCATTACAGAGGCATAGGTGTCACACCCATAGGAGGTCATTTCTGCATATACTCTGTCATGGTCTTTACAATATTTCCAAATCTTGGGAGTATTACCCAGCTTCGATATGGCTTTGTTTCAAAGTCTCTGCCCATTTTCAACAATACTTTGACGTCTCCTGTCTCGTCCTGAAGATCGGTGCCTTCAAAGTTATGTTTTCTAAAGCCTGGCCTTAGAAAACGTAGGCCTTTTCTTGGCTATCGCACGGGGGATGCCATGGACAATTATCTTCGGAGCATATCTCCGGTTCTCTCTCTCCTCAATCTTTTTCTACTCTTTTATCGAATTCCTTATTAAATTAGCAGCATTAGATTCACTGCCTCAATGACCAAGATACCACTCTAACGATGAACCTGGACATGTTTACTTTTACCTTTTTGCCTTGAATCTCATCGAATATCACTTCTTGATCGAGTTTTTGATCTTGTTTGGGCTTTATCCATAAAAAGTTATCTTGTTTCCTTTCTACTTTCTGCTCTCTCCTTTTCGGCTCTAGTACATCTGTGACTCTGGGTACCCTGGACTTAGCTACAACTGCATTAGTCCGGTTATTAAACACTATAGTCTCTATTTTGCCAGTATAGGGCTTTAGGGCCGTTGTAAATGTGTTCGTCAGCGTTTCAGTGATATTTCTTGTTTCTTATGCTGCGTTTTGTTTGTCTAGCCAGAAGCACCAAACACGTTCATACAATACCATTCTATTCACCTGCGATGAACTACACCTTATAATCCTTTCTTCTTTAATAATAATAATTATTTCGTATAATCCTTTCTTGTTTACCAGATCAATAATTTCATCTACGGTACAACGGCTACAGTCACAAAATAGAATGAATTGTATTTTAGAATATAATTTTTACTTCTATTAAATCAAGGGTCTGGGACAGTAGTTTAGGAAAAAAATGTACCACTCCACATTTTCCACAAATCAGGGTTGTACTAAGTGAATGAGTTAACATACATTTTTATGAGTAATACACACCAAAATCAAACTAGTGGTGCCACAGAATGGCACAGACTTTCCAGTATTAGTTTTCTATATCTTTTGGTCTTGGCTAGCTTCTCGGACTTGACACATACTCTTGCCACCTGCCATCTATCGCCGCCCAAAGTGCATTTTTTAACATTGAAGTTACACACGGAAGTTTGAGCTAGTTTTCACAAAAAATTGTTGAGTTTTCGAGAAACTTTATGACATTATTTAAAGCACATGTACTTATGAATACAAGAATGTAAACAAATTGCCGCTAATGTAAATATTAAAGACTAAGAGAAAAGTTAAAAAAAATGTAAAGTTTCAAAAACCAAAGGAATAGAGCAATGCTGCGTTTATGTCATCTTATAGAGTACATTTAGCACTATAAAAAAATCTTGAGAGAATACTACTAAAATTTTCATAAAAATATACACGACTTTAATGAAAGAACTAAATATGGAAAACCTATTTTATTTGAAGGAAAATCTCTATCTCTACTTTTGTAGTTGTAGGAAGACCCCGAAAAAAGATTCATACTCAATTTTTTGAAAATTCAGAGTTTACCGTAAAAATCGGACCTATTTTATAAGCGTGTGTTACTCTATTCTTACAAGAAATTTAAATAAAAAATTTGGAGACATTTTTGAGAAAATTTTGAAACTGTCTGGAGGACTTCATGTATAAATATATATAGTATCTCCAAATTTTGAAGAATGTTTTTCAAAATCTCAAAGTTTCGACTCGAGCCAGATGGACAGGGGTTTCTTCAATTTGGAAACAATCCAATGCGGCACAACACTATTTCGGTATTTGGAGACACCAAAATGTGTATTTCCGTTGAAATATCGAAATCGATTTTCCGCAGCATTACATAACTTTCCCTATATTACGTATAATACTCCGTATATATATATATATATATATATATATATATATATATATATATATATATATATACGTATACGGAAAAATATAACCACAGAAAAGATATAAAAAATTCCCCAAAAAGTAGTGCTAATTTAAGGCTCTAGGGGGGAAAATATTCGAGCATTTATATTCCAAAAATTAGGGCTGTACAAAGAGAAAAGGCAACAAACGTTCTTTGTAGACCTGTTGGCTAAACGGTTCAGACATTTTTTTCCAAATTGATATTGCCCGATCGATTTGGCTGAAGTCGCGCCCCCTTGCATTTCAAACCGATATGTTAATTTTGGTATGTTTTGAGTAATTTTGCGTGCAATATAGGCTATTTTTACTTTTTGTTTCAACATTTTTTTCTCAAAAACAGTTCCATCATTTCTGATAAAATTTTGTTGGTGGATTGTTTGAAGGATGTTTAAGAGAATGGTGTAGGACTTATGTTGCTTGAAAAGTACTGGTTATTTAATAAGGGAGACACGATTTGACTAGACATATATAAAGAGAATACTGTCGCAGTAATCAATGTTATGTTTATTTACGGTATGGTATCGTGCAACAAATAATTATGCAGAATTCAAATTCAAATGGTTACGTATAGATGGCATCTATTTAAGAGAATAAGTCAATTGCATGTGAGTTGTGTTCTTTCTGTTTTGTTCGTGGCTTGGTATGGTACCTGTCGGTTGCGCGCACTGGCGTCGGCGCCCGCGCGCAGCAGTGCCTCCAGGCAGTCCGCGCGGCCCCAGCTGGCGGCGGCGTGCAGCGGCGTCTCGCCCTTGGGGCTGCAGCGGTCCACCGCCGCGCCCGCCTCCAGCAGCGCCGACACGCACGCCACGTGACCCTGCAGCAAAACCAAACCATACTCAAAATTAAAGGATCATTTTAGACTAGGAAAAAAATTGTTCCATTCAATTTTCCAAATTTTCCACGAATCAGGGATGTACAAAGTCAATTAGTTAACATACGTTTTTATGGACGAATACACACCAAAATCAAAAAATCTGAGAAGAATTATGAAATCCTACCCCAAAATGTACGGCTAATTTGAGGATCTAGGGGGGAAATATTCCAGCAGTCATATTCCAAAAATCAGGGCTGTACAAAGAAAAAAGTCAACATACGTTATTTTAGGCCAATACACACCAAAATCAAAAAAACCTTTTAAAAAACGACATCCTACCTAAAGCTTAAGACTAATTTGAGCTTCTAGGTAAAAAAAATTCTGACATTTATATTCCAAAAATCGAGGCTATACTAAGACAAAGAGTTAACTTACAGTCAAACAGCATACGTTCCTATTAGAGATCCTAGTCGTAGTATTTTCCTATTGCGTTAATACAACATTTGACCCTCCGGTACAAGTGCTAGAATTGCCGAAGCGAGTACGCGCACTGTGAGTAAGAATTGCGAAATGATACGTCAAGTGATCTAATCAGAAAGCATAGTGAAGGCACCTGAAGACATTGCTCCATATCACTTAATAACTGACAATGGGAAGGTGAAATAATCACGAGCAGACACTCACACCGCTAGTGTGTACAAAACAAAGAAATAAATCAAAATAAAAAAAATTAAAACGATGCTGTCAGAAAATAAAATGTATATTCAATCAATTTTGGCAAATCAGAAATTTGAAACTATTTCACAAAACAGCGTTTCTATTATATTACGTACATACAATACGTACATATTATTTTCCTTATGTTTTCATTTCGCAAGACGCGAGAGTGAGGTCCGTACATTTAGCGCAACAAAGTTGTCAAAAATACTAGAAACTAATCTCAAAATGTGTCCCTTCTTTGTTGCTAATTTGTTATGCAAAAAGAAGAAACATGTCGCTCTCTATGTAATCCCGATATCCAATTTCTGCTAACTTGATATAATATTAGCCCAGCAATTACAAGAAAACCAATATATTATAGAGATGAATTTAAAATGATTATCTGGGAAATTTCGCTTTTAGTTTCTAATTAGTTGCCCCAAAAGATTATTCGTCGTTCTGAAACTATTACCGGAATTTCTTAATACACTCCAGTGGCGGATTCTAAGGTAATGCGAGTGTGCCATGGCACTACCAACAAAAAGGAAAAGAAAATCTTTGCCTCAAATGTGATTAAAATATCGTTTCTTCATTTTTTATCTTTACAGTAATGCATACGCTTAGTCCTTTGCTCTATCAATACTGCCTTCAAACGCACAGGGCGTGATGCAATCTGTCAGCCTCCTCCTGAACCTCTGGGCCACCTGCGGATTGGCAATCGTCTACGGCTAATTAACGCAGTATGAAGAACGTTGTGTAGGTTTATATACGTCTCGTATAGGCGACACGGTGCCAGATTCGAAGTGGCACAGATCACGTTCTCTTCATAGAGTGCACGAATGGCACTATCGCTCAGGATGACCCTGATGCCCTGGTATTTCGTACGTCTTTCCTTGTGTTTCGCACATGGAGAGGCGGCTTACGCCATTGACGTAAGGCTTCCCTCTTCTTCCGGAACCCTTCTTCTGCGAACTCAGGAATCTGTGACCTTTTGAGATTACTGTAGGCATTTTATCTTCCAGGCTGAGTATTTTTGTTCTTATGAGTTTTTTTGTTTTCTGTTTAATCTTCGTTATAACTTAATAAATATGGCCACTATAAAATTAAATTTTGTTGCTCCCGAATTTTAATTTAGAAATTAATAAACCAGTTTCAAAATATCCATGGTGTTTGATCGATGTTTAATGAACATTGATGTTAAAATTTTTTAATGTTTTTTTATACACACTGGCAGAAGGGAGCCATGGAAGTCATGGCCCCACCAAAAGGCCTTAAGTTATCGTTTACCTTCCTTTATTTGTCAAAATTGATTTAAATATTCAACTAGGGTCGAATTATGAGATTATTTCAACAATATTCTATAGTACGAGTATCAAATGTACAGTACATAAATAATATACAATATAATAAAAAAGTTCATTATTTAACAAAAATCTAGGATGCCCCCCCTCCAAAATTATCGGCAAGATCCGCCTCTGATGTCACATCACTAACTGATACCACCAATAGAATTCCGTACTGGCTACCACTGCTACACCCACTCGAATTATATATCCATCCATTCACTTTGAACGTTGTTAAAACAATTTGAATCTTCAATTGCAATCACCATATTTATTTCTTCTAAACTCTTGTGTGGGAAACAGTCGGTCAATGTACTGTTTATTTCAAAAGGCATACTATTTTCTTTGTGTTTTGGATTTTCTCCATGCCTCGATTCCTTAATGCCAACGAGTGTAACAATAAATACTGTACAACAAATTCTGCAGCAAGCTTCAGAATTATTACTACACCATAACCAAATTTTAAATTCCTTGTTGAAAACCCAATTATTTTAAATCGCGCAATTCGGTTTTTGTGTTTGGAAACTAATTTTTGTTGGCGGACTTCGAGATGAATTTGAATTATTAGGAACAATTGTGCTCTTTGAATATTAATCTCATTGCAGTTACTACTAGACAAAATATAATCAAAAATTAGTTGTGTTACAGAATGAGATAGACTTTCTCGCACTCGTTAGTTTCTCCCTAGGCTATCTTTTCGCTATTGCTCCACCTTCTTCCGAGCTGAGCTGCTTCCTACCGGCGCCTAAGTTACATTGACACAATGTGGCTTTCAGAATATTGTAAGAGAGTAAAATATGGTCCTATTTTTAAATTTTAATTGAACATTCTGGAGCAGTTCTTGAGAATATGTGGTTTACGCCTTTCTAAAAATGCGTAATTTTGAAATGTTCACAGAAAACTTTTGAGTTTTCAAGAAACTTCAAAAGAAATCACTAACATATATACTCACAAATGTAATAATGTACAAAATATAAGCTACCCGTGACGTAAGTATTAACGACGTGTGGTAAACTTTCACTAGTTGTGCTCCAACAGCACGTACTATCTCGCGATATTGTTAATGGTTATGTAATATTGTAATATGAAAATTTCTGACACTTCAACTACCATTTGAAAAATTCTTAAAGAAACGAGCGCGAAAAATTCATTTTTTAAAAATTCGAACGTTTAAACGAAATCAGCTTCCTGCTATTGAATTCAATGTATTAACGACGGGTGATGCGTATTTTAGCTGTAAATGAAATTATTGGTTTATATTAATGCGAACCATCGGCTTCCGTCATAATAGCATCAGTGCAATTTAAAATAGAGTTAATGATTACATAATATTAAAGGAAATATTTCTTTTCAATATTCGAATGACAGCCTCCACGCTCTTTTCACCTTTCCTTATATTAACACCAGAAATACAAAATTTAAATCCACATGTACATCCACTATGTCCAGATCGTCGATATTTCGCAAGAAACGCTCTTTTAGAAACACCGCATGACAATGAGATATTATTCTGTGAATTTCTCACCGTACCACGACGAATCTATTGTTAGATTGTAACTTCATAACCAGAATGGCCAGATAGCTGAAAAGTGCGTCTCAAATTATCGAACATTAAGTAAACGTTTGTACAAAATTATTTTCTGGGGTAAATTATAATTAAAACGATAATTATAATTCAAATTAAAATAAAAGTCGTCAACCCCGCGTGCATATCAATCAAATAAATCTTAGAAATTCGAATGGTCTCTAGGCCATGAATAAAACGCTCAAATAAATAAATATTCGAAATTAATCACATGGATATTACTTCGCTCTTCGCACAAATGGTTGCAAGAAATCATACTCTTCCACGCAATATTTGTAACGCTTTCTGGCTACACCACGTATTAGACAATTTTTTTCTAAATGTAGCATCTTGATTATTATGATCAGTGCGGAAAATTGCGAAAATTTCCAGGGAAAAAGTTTTTCGGCTGAAAATTCCACGTTTTTTCACACAGCATAACATAACTTTCTCTTCTTCCTTCTTAAGGACGAGAAAGTAAAAATTGCGTGGGTCCCATCTTTTACCTGATTTGTTCCATGTAAAATAGCGTGGAACATCGTTATATAGTAATGTTTTGACAAACTGGCCGAAAACGTCAAGCTTTTGGTATAAGGCAAAAAATTCAGTGAGTGTAGTTTTCGGTGGTTCTAAAGCTCTTTGGATAACACTTTCTTCAGTGAAATACACACGCTGACCATTTTCAAGATGCACTGCAAGATGCTGTACAGGTGGATCTCGATCGTGGATGGAAAAACTAAAACTACGCCAGATAATTACTGCTGATGTATCTGCCCATTTGATATTGTGTTATTTCATCATTTTTATTAATATCTCGCACTTCAAACATAGCCAAATCACAGCATTTTTTTACGTATTTACAAATGTATTTAATGGATTTGACGGAATTGCAAAACTCAACATTAATATGGGCCTTATAAGTTTTTGAAAGCAATGGTTTCGTATAGATCCACCCACTGATTATCAATTTCTAGTTGATTAAAATTTGATGTTCATATTGTGAACATATTGCTACCGTTGTCGGCGTTTCTACGGCGATACAGTGGATAACCGTCAATATCCGTAATTGTATAATTGATCAATTTTTTCGGAAAACGTTTCTTACAGTTGCCATTTTCCATGCATGGTGTTGTCATGTTAAAACTACCACATGGTCCATGGATCATGTGACTGGTAAAAATTTCATACAATTCTGGGTCGATGGATGGATCCGGAATTTCAGCGGAAATGATTATATCAATTTCTTCCGGGCGTATTTACAAACGGGCGATTTAATATTCGCTTAAACACACGTGCAACGATACCATGACGATGAATTGATTATTAACAGCAAGGTTTGTATTTCCTCCCAATTTGGATTACATGTAAATGTAATAAATAAATCGGGACGGCCA